AACATTTTGAGGTAGTTAATTTGATGATGCATCTTGTTCCTGCATTTCCACCTTCCTGTTCGGCCATTTCCATTCACACTCACAGATTTGCTCTCATGACCCTCTTCATTAACCATTAAGGCCAATTCTTCCCAGTCTACAGCTGAGAGGTTCTGATTAAACCCCATTATTACTCCAGATGAACTATCAGTTTCTAAATAGCCTTTTATATCTCCAACATTATATTCCACCTCCTTCCTCGGGAATTTTTAATTTGCCTTTTTTTACGACTGTGGAACACGGAGAAAGCGTGACCGCGAATTGTTCATTGAGAACTCTTATTAGAGCATGTTAATTTAGAATCCAGTGAGATACATTAATAGCAATCCCTCCAATGTCATGTTAAAATTGATCTGTCTTTCTGATGCTCTTTCATTCACGTCGTCTCATTTATGTCTCCCTGATGATTCTTTTTCTCTGCTGATGAACCTAAGTGATTCTGTGCCACCATCAAATCTTGCCACCTGCCAGCTCATCTCGGCACCCTGTAGGCTGGGATGGAGTCCGTTAACCAGTGCTATCTGTTTGGCATGAAAACCTGCATATTTATCCTCACCCTCATTTTCTCAGATTCTGTGGCTGCTCTGAATACTTTTCCATCGTGTTCACACAGACTCTGCTGGGAACACTGCTGGGTTTACACACAAGTTTACAACCCAAATAAAGGACTCCATAGATCGAACCAGCCTATTTTCCCCTTTACAGCAGAGTCAAGCTGCACCGTACCACTGCCTCGTACGAGCGCTTTACTAGCGTGGAAAAGCAGAATCAGCCAAGCGCCACCACCGCGGATGGCTACACCAGCACAGGCCGTTGTACGCCGCGACAGCCTGAGCCACCAGCCAGACATAAAATGAACGCCTCGGCCAGCACCCACAGCGGGATGCCCGCGGCACAGAGGAGCCGCGCGTGGCAACGGCTCTGACCAGCGTGACTACACCCACCGCGGTTGGAAGCACAGCCTCGGCCCAAATAGTATTTTACCGTCTGATGGCAAATGTGAAGTGTCAGGTTCAGCTGTAAGCTGCAGCTGCTTTCACCCCCCACAGTAACACAGAGTATTGCCACACAAGCACTTCCCACTTCCAAGGGCGCTACGCAGAAATGGAGTATAACGTGCGCGGTCAGAAGCCCATTGCCACCGACTCCTCTGAAGAGACGACCCTGAGAGCGCAGATGTACCAAGGCGTCCCAGCGGGGAACCGCCACCTCCATGCTCAGCACCTGCAGCAAGCGGGTACAGCTGGGCAGCTGGGATCCATCTTTGCACAAAGTAGACAGCTCTGTATTTTAGGTCAACCTTAACGCATGTTTTTCCATATAAAGAAAAAACTCCAGAAGTCATTTTAATATAAAATGTTTTTATTGTTTTTGAAAACATTTAAAAAACAATTTTTGAGCACTTTCAATAAAAAAAATAACTGAAATGCTACTGCAATATTCAACTACTGTAGTTTCAGCAGTACAACAGACAACAAAACACTGGGGAAGAGGGGAGAAACTGGATTTCCTGCACTAAATGAAAACGTGGAACAGGGATTTTTCTTTCCTCACGGTGCAGTAAATAAAGCACAGTATAGTACAAGACTATTATATGAACCTCAGATGCACTGCCCAAGAAATGCTTTCCTTCTTTTCAGTTCAGAAGTCAGTGCTTATTGCAATTATTTGCAAATTATTTACTTCATGAATTCTTATAATGATAAAATGATGCAAAAATGTTTTTTAACACCAGAACAATAAAAATAATCCAAGAAAGGAACATATTCAACAATAACTAAGCTGAATTAGTTAACATAAAAAAGTAAATAACTTGTGAATAACTATGCTCACCTGGTTAACACTGAACCAGTTTCAATACAGCAAAAGAATAAAAAAAAATAAAAGTGGTTACAGGAATATATCTAGTACTGTACAAGATTAAGTCATTAACACTCATGCACATTTTGTGATCATGTATTAACATGGTGAAGCAAACTAAACTTAATTTTTCCTGCTGTAATATTCTCATGTAAGAGAATAAGAAATAGAAATATCTCATTGAGATCAATGCACATTGCTACATAAGACAATTTCACCTGTCACTTTTAATGACATTTTGCCTTTTAATAATGAAACACATTAAAAAGGGTCTTTTGTTTTGTCTTTTTTTTTCCCCCTCTCAATCTGTGGGCTGTATTTGTTGCATTTATCTTAAGGAATGTGCCTGCCACAGGTTCAACAGAATTTTAGTGCAATATATGAACCCAGAAAGTTTGCTGGACTAATGAACCAACCAAATTTAAAGTGTTTGCTGCAATACTGTACACAGGGTACAAATTCACTACTTTGTATACTTGAGCAAAAACTGCTATCACAATAATTTTTCTCACATTAGTAGGAAGCCAATAATGTAAACAAGAGGTCAGAACTGTCTCAAATCCTTAGTTTTGGAGTATCTGACACAGACAGGCTTCCATCAGCTAGAATCACAGAATCTTCCTTTGGGTATTGCATACTTTGGTGTGCAGTAGTGCTCTGTCTCAATGTAGAGTAAAGAACTAACCGGCACTAAATGCGGGGACCTAACGTTATTAGTTACAACACCAATGCACAAACACCTCCAAAATAATACATACTAATGTATAAAGCTGTGCCCATGCCTTGGATCTTACTTGAAACAATCCTTATTGAATTTAACACTTCTTAAATTAAACACGTATTTCCTTTAAATCCACCAATTATAGAGTATTTCCTCCAAGTCACATGTTGGGCCCAATGTAATGCCTGTATTTAAAAATAATTTAAACACACTTTTAAAAACCTTTGGTGATGGCTGCATAATATAGAACGCATCAGCTTTAAATGTACTCTTGCTTGTCTGAAAAATTTTCTTAAAAAACTAGTGGAATTAGGCAAAATCTTATTTCCCCCAAGCCCACTCAGTCTCGGTGTTAGTGACCTGGAGGTGAGGCCAGCACGTCGTGCAAACACACGGGCTGCTGCAGCACGTGCGCGGCTTCTCCCCCCAGCACCGGCGCTCTCCATCAGCAGGTGGGTTCCACCTACTCACAGTAGTGCTGGCACTTCGCACGGGGTCAGGGAAAAAAAAAAAGAGGTGCCAAGTGTTCCTCGGGTCCCGCGAAGCCCCCAAGGTAAGAGGGCACCCCTCTGGCAGAAGGCCATGGGCGGGTACAGAACTCAAGCCCTGCCTTCCGCAACTTGAGTCTACAAGAAAAATGGTTCAAGCCTTACTGACAGCCACCCGGCAAGATAACAAGCAGAAGGCTACCACGCAGTTTTTAGTCTTCTTCCTATTTCCTTAACAAAACTTACAAGGGTCACTTCGTCTTAAATGAAGTGAACCACACTATCGCACATCCACGTGCGTCAAGGAAGGACCTGAACTCTCCGAGTCTGTTTCGGACAGAGGAGCAAAACCTCTGATGCAAACAGAGTGAAATCGGGCCCCCGTAAGGTGCTCCAGCGGGGCACAGCTGTTGGTCACTGCAGAAGATGCCACAGGCTGGTGACGAATTGGGGCAAGAACAAGAGAAGCCGTGGTACACCACCACCTCCCGTGCCAACGCGGCAGCACAAGTTGAATCAGCACCGCCAAAAGAACTGATCGGTACTGGGATCGCAAGTCACCAGCAAAAGCTGAAGAAACAGAAGGCCACCAAGGCGCTTCAACAAAAAAACCATTCATGATCTGAAACATCTGAGCATCTTCCCCTCCAGTAAATCGAGCGGAGCTTATTGTGCCTCCTCCCTCATAAATACACCACTGCTCATCCAACAAAGTCATGCAAGAGAGCAAAATGTTTTCTGCTCTTTTTCCTGTTTTGTAAGTGTCAGTTCACAGGAGAAAGAACCAATTTTATACTAAGCCTAAGGGATGGTATTGTAGCACCCTCAGGGCAACACTCCTTTTGTGAACGCTTGCCTCTGCAAGTCCTTCTAGCAGCAGGGCCGTGGCCGGTGAAGGACCTCTCTCTTTTGACCATCACAGATCCATGCTGTGCTGATAAAACAAACAGTCTTTTTGGTTCCAGTGAACTAGTGAGGCAGAATTCTAAATCTTGTTTTCCAGAGGTGCAGCTAAGGACTTTAAAAACCAAACCAAACCAAACCAAACCAAACAAAAAAACAAAAACCCAACAAAACAAAAAACAAACCAGATTCACCAATTCCGTCAAATCACTTATGAAAATGGAATTCAGGCTTCTAAGACAGTAAGTCCTTTTAAAATAAGTTTTACCAAAAGAAAGATCACATGTCTGACTGTATCTGTAAAGTGCCTGGCAGTATTATGGCTCTATATGAAATATTTTTAGATCAACCACATTTTCTAATATTTTTAATCATCTTTTGTTTGAGAGAAAGAGAGAGAGCAAGAAAGACAGAAAGGCTCAACCTACTGAAATACAGAGAAAAGAGTCTCTTCCTACACCCCCCACTAGGTTAGGAAGGAGCAAAGTTAAAAAATGAATCTTTAAAAATAGTATTTTAATGAGCTCCAGCTGCTCCTTTATTTAAAAAAAGAAAAGAGGGAAAATATCACGTTCCTTCTCTATAGCATTGATAAATAATTAACAGTACCTATCACTTCAGAATAGGGTATTGTTCCTAGATTAAATCTCAGTGCTCAAAATCTTTTTGCGTTAATTTTACCTAATATAAAAACATTGACGTGAGAACTAAAATATCAAGTATGTAATGAATATTAATGGATAAAATAACTACATAGATTTATTTCTCTTAAATAAAAAATTTAGTGCATCTTTCTTTTTCCTTGATCATTCCTGTTCATTTTTCCTACCTCTATGTTTTACTAGAGATGCCAATGGCACCGGTGCTACAGAGATGTCCCACAGCTCACCACCGAGCAGCGCTCAGGACAGCTACACAAGGAGCAGCTACGCAAGGACCAGGCACCTGCCCGTCACCTGGCTCACTCGTACCCCCTCCCCACCACCTACCCATCTGCGGGCGTCCTGCATCTCAGACCTGAATGCCAAGGTCAGCGAGGATCCTCACCCCCTCAAACATAACAAGCTGGACGGAGCACAGAAAGCCAACTAACGAGCTCGACTTAAAACCCTCCCAAAGCTTCGACCATAGCTGTCCCCGGTGGCTGGCTCTTAACCACGTCTTTATTTGCTACAATACGAAATGTTGAATGGGAAACACTGTAAAATTCAAATTTTAATACTGGCTCTTTGACAGCCCATCACCTTCAGAGATTTGTTTAAAATTGGTAAGACTGCCTTCTCCCTGCTGAAGAATGAGCAACAGGTACAGCAAACTTTTAAAAATGCCACAATATAGAGCAAGTGTTTCTGCTGCGGGAGGCACTTCCATTAAGACAAATACAATACGTCTGTCCTTTAGATACAGTGTGCTACATACATTTTATAAAACAAGGTTAACCCAGCATTTCAACAGCAGGATGATCCTTACTCTCCATCCACTCAAAACCTGATGTAGTCATTGAGTTAATGGATTCATTGCAGATTTGTTGAAACAAAGGGTCATTTTTTAATTCCTCCAGTGTAGCATCATCGTCTTGTCCCTGCTGACGACCTGGATCAAACAGTAGATTTGTGTCTAAAGTGTTCAGATCGTTAATGCTGCCTGAGAGCTCGGAAGACAACCTGATGTCGCTGGAAAAGACAGATGCAACGTTATTGAGATCTGATGCCACCTGATTCACCAGCTGCTGGTTTGTTGGCAGACTGTCCTCCCCTAAAAGGTCTTTTACAGTGCTGCTAAAATCTAACTGCTGCTCTCCGATGTCTGATTGTGCTTGGTTATCTCCAGAAGAAAAACTGATCTGATCGGTGCTGCTGTTTTTTGTGAGGTAATTTGGTGTTTGGAATTCATAAACCGAAGTGCTGGAATTGATCATATTTTGCGTGTTGGCACTAGGAAAAGCAGCGGATGTCTCTAAAATCTGAGTGAGATTCATCCTGGCTGTGTAATTTGAGGGCATGTTGTTCATTCCCAACCCTCTCACTGCATCATCGCTATCAGAATCAAGTTTGTTTAACAACACATTGGTTATTTTTTTAGTGTTTGTTTGTTTCTGAAGAGACGGGAAGGCCGTCTGCATCATCACAGTCAAGGGGACCGACTGGCTTCTCTGTGCTATGTTATTGGCACTGGTGTCTGCATGGATATTCGCAAATACGTTGTGAACTTCAGGAGTCACTGGGCTCCCAAAAGGTGTCAGGTTAGAGCGTGGTATATTTGAAACGGGGTAAACGGTGCTTCCACTGAGATTGCGCTGGCGATGGACAGCAGGGCTCACGCTCCGGCATCTCAGGCTGTTGTTGAGAGAGGAACCAGTTCCTTTGTTGTCCAAAGGAGCAGGAACAGCGAAGCCCTCTTGCTTGGTGGCGCTACTGGCAGGGGCCGCCTGGTGCTGCACAGGCGAAACAGGAGTCACGCGACCAAAGTGAGTGTCATGGTGGCGCGACTGAGACTGGTATGACTGGCCGGGAACGGCAAAAGCGTGAGGTTTCCTGAAGCGGTCTTCCACCAGCTCCTGGTAGCTCGTAAGGATGCCATGGTTTGCCACCGACGAATTGCTAACGCC